TGCACCCCTTGCACACAGAAAAACACACAGACACACATACACAAGCAATGCAACCGTTACACACAATGCATCCCTTACACACACAGAAACACACAATGCATTCATTACACACACTCAATGCACCCTTTACACACATTCAATGCATCCCATACATACACAGAAACACACCTTGCAGTCCTTACACATACAAACACAATTTCACACAATGCATTCCTTACACACATATCAGGACATCCCCTACACACTCCACCCCCTGTGAACAAACTCATTGGAGGAACATGAAGGTGGACCCTGGGACCCAGACCCAGCCGTGTAAAGGACCCCAAAAAATGGAGCTGCCGTTCTCCCAGAACACATTGTTTTGTGACCACAGTTACAAACCGCCTCCAGAGAGCCTGTTCTGCACCAGACCAGGAGCCAGACTGCAGCTAGAGCCCATCATCATCCTCATCTGGTTGTAAGTAGGCAATCTAGTATATTATTTGTGGCACTAAGCTCTAATTTACCTCACATTAAAGAAACACTATAGTCCCCAGAACCACTTCAGCTTAATGTAGTGGTTCTGGTGTCTATAGCCTGTCCCTGCAGGCCTTTTAATGTAAACACGGCGGCACTGCAGCACTGGCGTTAGTTAACATGGCAAATCATATGGGTGGGGCATTGTGATGTCACATGGGGGGCGGCAAACTTTACTTTTGCCTAGGGCGGCAAAAATCCTTGTACCGGCCCTGGCTGGAGGGGGCTGTGTGAGCTGTGGCGCACAGTGTCCCATGTAAGCCGTTGGCCAGTACAACTCACTCAAGCAAACAGCTGATAAACTGGCCGCACGGAGGAAATGTGTATGTGTGACTGTCTGCCTGTGACTGTGTGTGACTGTCTGCCTGTAACTGAGTGTGTGACTGTGTCTGTAACTGAGTGTGTGACTGTCTGCCTGTAAATGTGTGTGTGTGGGGCTGCAGGGATTTTGTAGAAGGGGTAGGGGGTTTTGTATTGGGACAGGAGTCTTTATAAGGGGGGATAAGCAGGGGATTTGTGGAAGGGGATTGCGGGGGTTTTGTAGATGGGGCAGTACAGGATTTGTAGAAGGGCAGGACAGAGGTTTTGTAGGAGGGGCAGGGCAGGACAAGGGTTTTGTAGGAGGGGCTGACAGCGGTTTTGCAAAGTTTACAAATTGTAAAAATAAAGAAAGAAAACCTTTAACATTTTTTACAGGTTTTTTTTTTTTGGGTGGGGGGGGGTGCCAAGCACAGGATCCGCCCCGGGTGCCAAATGCTCTAGGTACGCCCCTGAGCGTACTATTTGACGCTTCTATTTGACTCTCAGATATGAAGAGCAGGCCCCAAAATTTACTATTTAGCAGTTTAGCGCCAAAACAATTAGAATGTTTACAATTGCGCTGTAAACGCAGTATTTGATTCTCAGATATGAAGCGCAGGCCGCAAATGTACTATTTAGCAGTTTAGCACCCAGAAAATAAGAATGTTTACAACTGCGCTGTAAGCGCACTATTAGACGCTTCTATTTGACTCTGAGATATGAAGTGCAAATGTACTATTTAGCAGTTTAGCAAACAGAAAATAAGAATGTTTACAATCGCACTGTAAGCGTACTATTTGACGCTTCTATTTGACTCTTGAGATATGAAGTGCAGGCTGCAAATGTACTATTTAGCAGTTTAGCACCCAGAAAATAAGAATGTTTACAATCGCACTGTAAGCGTACTATTTGACGCTTCTATTTGACTCTCAGATATGAAGAGCAGGCCCCAAAATGTACTATTTAGCAGTTTAGCACCAAAACAATTAGAATGTTTACAATTGCGCTGTAACCGCAGTATTTCACGCTTCTATTTGACTATCAGAAATGAAGTGCAGGACACAAATCTACTATTTAGCAGTTTAGCACCAAAACAATAAGAATTTTTACAACTGCGCTGTAAGCGCACTATTAGACGCTTCTATTTGACTCTCAGGTATGAAGGGCAGGCCACAAATGTTCTATTTAGCAGTTTAGCACCCAGAAAATAAGAATGTTTACAATTGCGCTGTAAACGCACTATTAGACGCTTCTATTTGACTCTCAGATATGATGTGCAGGCCGCAAATGTACTATTTAGCAGTTTAGCACCCAGAAAATAAGAATGTTTACAACTGCACTGTAAGCGCACTATTAGACGCTTCTATTTGACTCTGAGATATGAAGTGCAAATGTACTATTTAGCAGTTTAGCACCCAGAAAATAAGAATGTTTACAATCGCACTGTAAGCGTACTATTTGACGCTTCTATTTGACTCTTGAGATATGAAGTGCAGGCTGCAAATGTACTATTTAGCAGTTTAGCACACAGAAAATAAGAATGTTTACAATTGCACTGTAAGCGTACTATTTGACGCTTCTATTTGACTCTCAGATATGAAGAGCAGGCCCCAAAATGTACTATTTAGCAGTTTAGCACCAAAACAATTAGAATGTTTACAATTGCGCTGTAACCGCAGTATTTCACGCTTCTATTTGACTATCAGAAATGAAGTGCAGGCCACAAATCTACTATTTAGCAGTTTAGCACCAAAACAATAAGAATTTTTACAACTGCGCTGTAAGCGCACTATTAGACGCTTCTATTTGACTCTCAGGTATGAAGGGCAGGCCACAAATGTTCTATTTAGCAGTTTAGCACCCAGAAAATAAGAATGTTTACAATTGCGCTGTAAACGCACTATTAGACGCTTCTATTTGACTCTCAGATATGATGTGCAGGCCGCAAATGTACTATTTAGCAGTTTAGCACCCAGAAAATAAGAATGTTTACAATTGCGCTGTAAGCGCACTATTAGACGCTTCTATTTGACTCTCAGATATGAAGTGCAGGCCGCAAATGTACTATTTAGCAGTTTAGCACCCTGAAAATAAGAATTTTTACAACTGTGCTGTAAGCGCACTATTTGATGCTTCTATTTGACTCTCAGATATGAAGAGCAGGCCCAAAATGTGCTATTTAGCAGTTTAGCACCAAAACAATGAGAATGTTTACAACTGCGCTGTAAGCGCACTATTAGACGCTTCTTTTTGACTCTCAGATATGAAGAGCACACCTAAAATATACTATTTAGCTGATTAGCACCCAGAAAATAAAATTTTTACAACTGCGCTTAAGCACACTATTAAACGCTTCTATTTGACTCTCAGATATGAAGAGCAGGCCCCAAAATGTACTATTTAGCAGATTAGCACCCAGAAAATAAGAATTTTTACAACTGCGCTGTAAGCACACTATTTGACGCTTCTTTTTGACTCTCAGATATGAAGACCATGCCTAAAATGTACTATTTAGCAGTTGAGCAGCAAAACAATAAAAATGTTTACAACTGCGTTGTAAGCGCAGTATTTGACGCTTCTATTTGACTCTCAGATGTGAAGTGCACCCCACTAATGTACTAGTTTGCAGAATTCTTTCCTAGCTGTCCCTCACAGCGGCAGCATCGTCTCCCTACACTAAGACCTCATGTGCGTGCGGCGCTACGCAACTCCAGCTGATATATAGAGGCTGGGTCACATGCTGCTCTGGCCAATCACAGCCATGCCATTAGTAGGCATGGCTGTGATGGCTTCAAAGGGCACACGAGTCAAATGCTTGTTGATTAGCTGCCTGCAGCCTTTCAAAACGCGCCATTAAATCGCCGAACACCGAACTCCAACCCGAACATACAGTGATATGACCGTGTTCGGGTCCAGGGTCCAAAAAACGTAATGTTCGGTAAGAACCCGAACATTACAGTCTGGGTTCGCTCAACTCTACTTATAATGGCAAATACGCTACAAATAAATATTAAATATCAGAGTAATGACACAGAAGGTCTCTATATAATTTTAGTGTGTGAAATCAACAATCAGTTATTTACCTTGGTAAACCTATATTTACTAAATGTGTATCCAGTATGCTTCTATTGAAAGATTATGCAAGAAATTAAACAGGTTAGGGCCAGTTTTTAATCACAGGTGACCTAAATTGTGTCCCTGATTATCATTTAGATTAAAAAAATATATATACTTCCTGTGTTATTGATAAAAAGTATAATCATAAGAATTAAATAAATGTATAACGGAAGGGAATCTGGCAGATATTTGGAGGGTTTACCACACGAATGAAAAATAATACACACATTTTTCTAAAGTTCATTTATCTTTTTCTCAAATTGGTCTTTTTTTGGGATATGTCCATAATTAGTAATACCAAAAGAATATATATAAAGGACAATGTGTGGTCAGGCCATAGTCTAGTAATTTTGAATTGAAGGATGCTTTAAAATTACCAGTTAGAACTACATGGCGTTTAGATGATTACATTCTTAAGAACGAACTAAATCAAGAATATATACGTAACTTAGTCAAATTATTTTTTCAAGAGAACTCCACAGAACAGATATCACACACGACAGCTTGGTGCACATTAAAATCAGTCACAAGAGGTCATTGTATTAATCTTAAATCTAACCTTATTAAAGCAAGAGGCGTTTCCTTATGGGAGATATATATATAAAATTCTATAATCTTTCTCGAATAATTAAAAATAACTTTACAATTGCAACTCAAAAGAATTTTGGAGAAATAACAAGTAAAATTAAACAGATAGAATTAGAAATCACCAATAAAAACTTGGATCGCCTTAAAATGAAATTTTACCAAAAGGGTAACAGGGCAAATAAAATTGTAACAAATAAATTGAAAATAAAACTCTAAAGGAAGAATTGCACAATAAAAGTTTAAGATTATGTATTTATGACCCCTAAAGAAATTGCAAATGCGTTTGTTGAATTTTATAAACAACTCTATAACCCTCCCAAAAAGCCTCAATTTCAATTGAAAAAATTAATAGACTAAATCAACTGATAGGAATAGTGATGTCCCGAACTGTTCGCCGAATGGTTCACGAACGGTTCGCCACGAATGGTTCGCCACGGACTCATCATTGAGTAAACTTTGACCCTGTACCACACAGTCAGCAGACACATTCCAGCCAATCAGCAGCAGACCCTCCCTCCCAGACCCTCCCACCTCCTGGACAGCTCAGTAAGAATGCAGCTTCACAATGGATGCTGTCCAGGAGGTGGGAGGGTCTGGGAGGGAGGGTCTGCTGCTGATTGGCTGGAATGTGTCTGCTGTCTGTGAGGTAGAGGGTCAAAGTTTACTCAATGATGAGTCCGTGGCGAACCATTCGCGAACCGTTCGGCGAACAGTTCGGGACATCACTAGATAGGAATAGTGGAGGGAGAAAGAGCAATTGAAAACTTAGCACAAAATAAGACACCAGGTCCAGATGGCCTCAGCAATTTATTTTGTAAATTATACAAACTAATACAACATTTAAATTTCACATTATCTAGTTAAAACCTTTAATGAGATAGTGACCAAAGGTATTTTCCCTTGTTGAAAGCAAATATTTACCTATATTAAAACCGGGGGAAAATCCATCAGATCTTACTAGTTATCATCCTATCTCATTAATAAATGTTGATACAAAGCTATTCTCTTCAATATTAGCTGAACAACTGAAGAACATACTATGGGATATTATTCATCAGAATCAGATTGGTTATGTGCAGGACAGGTCATCCTGCAATAATATCAGAAGGATAATCAATATTTTAGATTCAGCTGAGTGGGCATGTTGTTGGATGCAGAGAAAGCTTTCGACAGGGTTGGATGGGAGTACATGTTCGCTACATTACAACACTATGTCTTAAAGGACCACTCTAGGCACCCAGACCACTTCATCTTAATGCTAGGATTAACCCATTCTTTTATAAACATAGCAGTTTCAGAGAAACTGCTATGTTTATGAATGGGTTAAGCCTTCCCCCAAATCCTCTAGTGGCTGTCTCATTGACAGCCGCTAGAGGCGTTTGCTTGCTTCTCACTGTGATTTTCACAGTGAAAGCACGCCAGCATCCATAGGAAAGCATTGTAAATGCTTTCCTATGCGACCGGCTGAATGCGCGCGCAGCTCTTGCCGCGCGTGCGCATTCAGGCGACGGGGCGGAACGGAGGAGGATCGGAGGAGAAGAGCTCCCCGTCCAGCGCTGGAAAAAGGTAAGTTTTTACCCCTTTCCCCCTTCCAGAGCCGGGCAGGAGGGGGTCCCTGAGGGTGGGGGCACCCTCAGGGCACTATAGTGCCAGGAAAACAAGTATGTTTTCCTGGCACTATAGTGGTCCTTTAAGCGATTGGCTGCTCAGAGCTATAAAATCTCTATACACGATTCCTACAGCCAGGGGTGGTGGGCATGAATCTATGCTCAGAGTGGTTTGATTTAAAAAATGGAACAAGACAAGGTTGCCCTCTATCCCCCATCTTGTATATGTTTTCAATAGAACCACTGGCTACAAGAATAAGAGAGAATAGAGAAATAAGGGGGTATCCAATTAAAAACCAACTGTCAAAGATGTGCTTATATGCAGATGATGGTTTGTTTTTTTCTTAACGGATTCTAATGAATCGCTGAAGCACCTGTTGGAAGAATTAAACAGATTAAGCTATATTTCAGGATACAAACTGAATATGAGTAAAACCATTGCCCAACTTTTTAATTTAGATAAAAGAGAACAGGAGCAAATCTGTAATAACTATGGTTTTGATTTTTCAAAAAATACTTTTACTTATCTGGGTATAATTATTCCAAATGACATAAAAAATAGTTGAATATAACTTCTTGGATAATTTAAGAACTATGAATGTATTATTGAAGGAATGGATGTAATGGTATTTATTAATTAATGACTTTACATCATAAAGAAAGCATATTTAGTGTAATGCTTTGGGGGCACCACTAGGGGGAGTGTGTAGGAAGACATGTGCTTCTGGCAGTGACATCACAGGCCAGCCTTCTTACACTGAATAAAAACCAGATGTAGGAGAAAACTCTGTCTCTTTGCCTGTAACTGACTGAACCTAAGATGTAGTACCAGCTCTGACTTAACCCCAGCCAAAGGGCTGGGGCCTTGTAAGTAAAATGAATCCATTGTAACATTTAGCAATTGTAATAGCCTTTTAGCAACCTTTTGTAAGTAATATGTTGTAGTTTTGTATTGTATCATTATTGTAGTAAATTGACATTCTGCTAGCATCTGTTTATTTATTATAGTTATATTAAATATACATTTAATATTACAACGTTTTGTGTATTTTCTATCCACATATTCGACCATAATACCATGAATTATAAAAATATTAATGTTGTTCCGTATTGCTTAATTATTATGTATTAAGAGATTAATATTCATATTTAAGTCACGACCACAACAATGGAGAAACAAACAAATATCATGGCATGGTAGAATAAATATCATAAAGTCGTATGTCTTAGCCAAGTGGGTTTATTTATTGAGAATGTTACCACTCAGCTTCCCAACTCCATGGTTACAGTTAATCCAACAAAGCTTTATAAATTTCACAAGGAGGAGAAAAATACCATGTATCATCAATGATTTACTGGCAAAAAAACAACAAAATGGGTGGTTTAGGTTTTCCTATTGTGCAACAATATCATGATGCAGGGACTTTATATCATATGAACAAGATGGTTAATCCAGTCTTCAAGAATGAGGACTGGTACCAGTTAGAAATGGTAAATACAGAGTATAAAGATTTATCTACCCTAATATGGAACCTAGGAAAAGATTACATGTAAACTGGGTTGAAAGATACATAACCAAATATTACCATTGTGGAAAAGAAAAATTTAAGAAAACTAGCCTATCCAGTTAAATCCCTAAACTTCTATATATTCAAGAAATTGAAAATAGTATAGAACATTTAAAGCTATACAACTGGAGGAGAGCAGGGTTACAAAAGGTTGATCAATTTTAATATTAGGAAATTCTGTGTAAAAGTAATTCAAATATTGAATAATAAAAAATAGAAAAATAGTAATATTACAAAATGGGAAACAGATTTGCATCAGCCCCTTGATGAGAGGTCATGGAATTTAGCATTTCCAGTTTTTCTAAGAACATCCATGATCTCTCATTAATAGAAAGGCAGTTCAAGTGTATTAACAGATGGTATTTTGTTCCAACCAGGATGGCAAAAATGTTTGCAAATAGTAATAACAAATGCTGGAGATGCAAGAAAGAATTGGCTCTTATATGCACAATTTTTGGCATTGCAAAAAATTACACATGCTATGGGCCTTTGAGTTTCTTAATAAAGCATTACAGATGAATATTAAAATCACCCCGAATATGGCTTTATTGAATATGAATTTGTCAAAATTTGTGCTCGAAAGATCAAGCACATTTAATTACCCATACTGGTGCAGCAGTCAAAATTTTGATTGCAAGAGGCTGGAACCAGAGTCATGTCTGTTCCTTTGTGATTATTTTTACACAATTAATAATATAAAAGGTTTTACACTATCGAGTTTTTATTATCTCCCACCCTAAGGAACTGGGAGACCCGAAAATCCCTCACAGTATAATAATAAGGTATCAAGTGGAAATTTTTTCCGAATGCAATAGATCACTTTAAATAAGTGCTCCACTGTATATATATTTTTTATGTAACAGCTTTCTGTCTGACCTGGTAGAGGATTCAGAAGTGTCATGCTTACCTGTTCCAGGGCTACCTTTCAATGCTCTGACATTGTTTTGGGCACCTTATGCTGCTTGTGTGCGTCTGTTTATACACGTTCGCACCTACACCTATATGCAATCACGAATGATGCAAAATCGACACTTGCCTATTTTTTTGTGGGAGTGAGAGGAGTGCAACAAAATGCATCTTTGCCTGTGTAGCCAGAAGTCCTTGTACCGGACCTGAGTATTACACATTAGCTCTCACGGTCAACTGCTGACATCCTCACAGGGTTCCAGAATAAAGTCCTTCATAAATATGATAAATGACAAAATATATCAAAAAAGATTTTGAGAAGTTTTAGGTGTGTCATATCCATAAAGGCATAATCTTGCCATTTATCACATCGTAGTTAATTGTTCTACCAGGTAACAGTCCTTTTGTTTATTTATACCAAATACCTATCTAGTCAGTCATATTAAACTCAATAGGACCTTGTTTGTCTGCAGTGCCTGTGCACCTTGATCTTGAGCATTCACAGATTGTGGTCAGTTTAGTTTAAACCATGTTCTGTTATAAAATGATATTTTAAAATAGATAGCCAGATAGAGAATGCAGGGAACAGCGCTCTAAGGACTTGTAAAAAACACTTTAGTCATGTCAATACTTCAAATTATATGTAAACGTTTATCTGAAATATACTAAAACATTGGCATGATCAGAGCTGCACTAAGTTGTCCGTATGAGTCCTAAATGTGCTGTTGCCTGCATTCTATAAACAATCTGTTTAAATAAGCAAAAAGAAAAATATCTGCTAGAATTTTGGATTTTTTGAATGGTGGACAGTGGAAGGACAAACAATATTATACATAGTTACAATGCATTGTTCAACATTCATAATCTGTAGTATCAGAAGAAGTAACAGCATATTGTCGATTTTGGGTATGTACAGTAGAGATGAAACTACTGTTGCTATAGCAACACTTATGGTCATCCAATATTTTCTTAAGATTGTGACAATGCAATTTTTTAAAATGGCTGAATATTAAGTCTTATTAATATGAGTCATTTACACAGAAGATGTAAATTATGCATCGTTTATGATTTTTTTTTTTTTTAATCTTTGTAACTTTATCTTTGAGCTGTGCTTGCATTTCCTTTCTAATATTACAGATATTATGTGTAACATTATGGGAGTCCTTTTGATTTATATTCTATGTACCTGAACAACTTCATCATATTATTATTATTTGTGTTAATAATGGTTTCCACAAATGTCTCAGATGACTCTTGCTAAACTAAGCCGCTGGTGATTGAAAGATTAAAATTCTTGAGCCCAAGGGTATTCTGAATTGCAAATTAATTTTCTTCTAATCAAAATTGTTATGAGTCATCATGTCTGCATCCTATGATATTTGTGGTGAACGATACTTCTTTCCAAATTCATTAACATATACAGCATTTTTATTACTTGGAAATGTCAAAAATATCTCAACTATATAGACATTAACAGAGTAAAATCATCTAAGAAAAAAAAACTTGTCTTAATGGTCCTTCCATTCAAAATCTGTCTGACAAACTGTCTGCCTGA